CATTATATAACATTCCAATTTTATCTATAAATTTTCTTCCAAAGCCAAAATGATCTAAAGTTTTTAAAATGAAAGGGTGTTGGAGTATTACTATGATGCCTGACAGGAGCTTCCATGTGGTACAGAGGCAAGTGATTGGCCGGTAGTCGGATGGGATTGTTCCCTTCTGGGGATCCTTCATGATCAGAACTGTCCATCCCATTCTGGGTGGGTACCATCCATCAGCAGTTGGTTAATTTCTGCTGCGAGGCGTGCATGAAGTGCAGATAATTTTTTCAGCCATCAGGTGTGGATCATGTCAGGGCCTGGGGCTTTCCAGCTCTTCATAACTGCCGCCCTTTCTTGGTCATCTGCCATTGTAACGGTTACTGGTTCTTGTTCTGGGAGATGCCATCTTGTCTTGGATCCACTACCAATTGGTGTTGTTGGATGCCTCTTTCTCCCTTCAGTTCCTCCAGTACTGTTCAGTCTCAGCCCTGGGTGGATCTGATCTTGTATTACCGGTATTAGCCTACCACTGTGAGTACACTTTGGATGGGTTGGTGGAGAACATCTGGTTTATTCTCCTGGCTTCTGCTTCTCCCTTGTATCTCTTTAGGCGGGTGAACAGGGCGATGAGTCCTTGTTTGGCAGTTTTTAGAGCCTCAGGAATCGAGGTAACCTTTTTCCCTTCACCTCTCTGTAGGTCTGAGAGCTGACTAACCTCTCTTTGTGTTGCCTTGATATTGGCCTCCAGCCTTCTCCTCCATGGGGAGTAATGCTCTTTGTGGGGCCTGTGGTGTTTATCTTATAGCCAAACATCTCTAGGATCACTGTAGCTGAGGCGTAGATCAGCTCATTGGTCTCAGTTGGTCTCATTGGTCTCTCATTGGTCTCATGTTTAGTAGGGATAGTATGTAGTGCTGCATTTAAATCTTCTAGAAGACTTTCAGAGGGTACTCTGTCACCTAGCCTTGGCAGTGTTGGTCGTCGTACTAGGGGGTCCAGCTTGGTTATGATCTTCAGTTGTAGGTCAGCCGCCCTCACATTTAGTGGGCTTGTTGTTGTTATTGGGGCTTGGGACCCAATCTCTGGTGATGATGAAATCTCCCTGTTGACCTGTTGTCCTGTCTCCCCCTTGCTGCAGCATGTCAGTTGTACCTAATCAATTTCTGCGCTTTTTGTTCTGTGGATGAGAAGAAGAATAAACATTGCCCACCCAGTTTTTTTTGTTTCAAATGTTCTGCCCTAGAAAGCATAGTCTCCTGAAGAAGAGCAATATCAGCTCTCTGCTTCCTCAAATATGTAAACATTTTCTTCCTCTTGATTACATGGCCTAAACCCTGGACATTCCATGAAATGAGATCAAGTGGCCGGGGCATACTGGCTTAAGGTATTATGAGTCATGGTAGAAGAAGATGAATACTGAAATCAAAAAGGGATAGGAATGAGAAAACCAACATTGTTGTGGAGTAACTAAATAAGAACAAAACAAAACAAGCAGCACATACCCTCCCATATCCTGCCCCCAAATGGCAGGAAAAAAACATCCAAAAAGAAGTCACCATAAAATACAAGTATAATTTCAGAATACTGTGTCTAAACAGCAGTGATGGGACTAACGGCGTTAATAACGTTACCTTGTTTTAGTAACGAGAAATCTAACTAATTACTTTGACTGTAACTATAATGCAGTTACCATTGCAAACACCCCGTTACTGTGCGTGACCCAGGTCGCAAAATTAACCTTTTTTCATGATAGGACTCGTGCGTGCCTTGTCACGAGGGGGGGATGAGAATGGCTGATGTAAAGTGAGATTCTGTCAGTTGGGTAGGTGGGTGTTTCTGCTGGTGGGTGTTAACGTACAGCACACACAGAGAGATGGAGGGTGAGGATTACTCCAGCAGCAAAACGTTTTCCAGACGGAAATACCGGTGTTACGTCGAGCTGCGTTTCCCCATCACATACGGTTCCCCCTGCATCTCCACACAGCGCAGGCGGCACGATTCACTGCGCAAGCGACAGGAAACGCGCATGCTCGCTAAAGGCGCGCAACAGTCGCCCTGTGCTCGCGCCACAGGAGAACTATGGAGAGCATGAACCAGGGGCGTGAATACATAGACACTAGGTGGTGCTAAAGCACTCGGAAGTTTGCCCTTTATCAACGAAAATGCCCTTTTGAAACTCGTTTTTTTATTATTTTTTTTTATTATTAATATTATTAAGATTTTACTAAGGTCGGTTTTGAAATTATCTTTTGAAAACCTGAGCCATTAAAAACGACTGAAAAAATGCCCCGAAATGAGCCACCTTCTTGCACACACCCGACTAGCCTATCTCTCTTCCTTTGTCACGTGAACTCGTGCGGTCGC